TCCCCCTCCACCATCCCTCAGGCCTTCACCGCACTATTGTCTGTGTCCAGGGGTTATGCATATATGCTTAAAAGTTCTTGGTTGATCTCTTCCTACCCCCCTTCTCCCTTCCCTCTGAGATTCGTCAGTCTGTTCCATGCTTCCATGTCTCTGGATCTATTTTGTTTGTCAGTTTATTTTGTTCATTAGTTTCCACATATAAGTGAGATCATGTGATACTTGTCTTTTTCTGACTGGCTTATTTCACTTAGCATAATACATAGGATTCATCTATGTCTATGCTTTATACTATCACACCATGTTTTAGGGAAGTCAGATTCCTATGTTGTCAATGTGGGACAAATGGTTTAAAATTGTTTGGAAGAGTAGGGTTGTGGTGTTTGGTTTTTCTCTTCCTTCCTTCCTTCCTTCCTTCCTTCCTTCCTTCCTTCCTTTCCTTTCCTTTCTTTCCTTTCTTTCCTTTCCTTTCATCCTTCTGGGATAGAACTGGGATTCATGCTCTTGGATTGACCCACCTGGATCTTTGAGTCGGAATCAATAAATGACTGAGTCAAATGTCTAGGCCATGACAAATGTAAATGGCATAGCATAGAAATAAATGTCTTTTGTTCTTCACTGAGACTAGAACATCTCAAAGTGTGTTACAATGAGATGTTGCAGTACAGATCAATGATTCCTATGTGACCCTGAGAACTCTGACCATTGCAATCCAAGCCCCATGGCCTGGCTGGGGAAAGTACTGAGGAACTAATGCTTGACTTAACATCTCTGGCTCCCACATCTGAGTCACCTTCAGAGAGAGCCTTGCCCCTACCCTTCTTCTCATTCTTCAACAATTTTTCTCCCTGATAAACACATTCACAGTAGGTTTAAAAATAACAGATAAGACATACGTTAAATTTTACATGAAATGGTACATCTCAAAGATGTTTGTATTTTAACAGGACATCTGGCCTTAATTCAAGTAAGAAAGGGCAAAACTTCAGTCAAAAGTGAAGTGTAGATTTGGTTTAGGTTTGGGGAACGGGAATAGAAAGAAAGCTTGTTAGTAACCTTAGGATCTCACTATGTAGAAGATTACTTGTTACACATAAATGTTAAATGGGCGTAATGTGCTCATGGATGACCTTATTTCTCAATAAATCTATGGAGCCATCAGGAACCAAATATCAAGAGAAATCTTTAAGATAATTGCTTTATGAACATTTTAGGGGTCTCATGAATGATACTTAAATTATTTACCCTGAACTTTGAATTATTTTAAACTAGAATCCTGATGAATCTATTATGAACCCACTTATGATTTGAAAAGAGTAATAAAATATTCAAATAAATAATAGCGAATAATAATGCAACACTGATGCTATTAGAACCATTGGACTATTACAGACATTTTGCATAGCAAAAGGATAGTATAGTCCAATACACAGTGTTACTCACAGTAGGCAAAGATGTTAGTGGAATGGAATGAATGAATAGCATTATAAATGACAATGTTATAATTTATCTAAATTTGTTCTATAATATAATCTAAATGGTTTTTGAAGTTATGACCTTTTTAAGTAATATAATGTTCTACCTAGGCCAGGTGGAAATTGCTCAAACTCCAGATCAAATCTCCTATCTAAAAACAACATAGGACTATTAAAAACTTCTTGTGAGATGGCCATTACAATAATGATGAAAAAGTGTCATATTATCATATTTTAAGCAATGTGTAACTGTAGCATTTTTGTTTTGCAGTTGCTTTTGATTACTCTCCACTGATAACTTGGAAAGAATTCCAGGCATGCATGCCCTGGGATATAGCCATTCTTGTTGGTGGAGGGTTTGCCTTGGCAGATGGCTGTGAGGTAATAATCTATGTCTAAAATATTTAACAATTAACTAGGCTGTTCCAAAGGAGAACACAGGGACATTCAAGCTTTTGTCATATTCAACTTCATCCTGTCATGTTAATGACACATGTTCCAATAGCCATGCAGTAAGTATATCACACAGATGAGGTGAGTTCAGAGTTCAAAACATTTTATAGCCTCCAAGCATAAAACATCATTTTTTATGATGCACCAACATGTCAAAAGAAATAAAGCAAAGAAGGTTAGAATTCTTAATCCATGAAATAGTATTAGAAGACTAGCTTAATAAGAAAAAACATAAAAATCATACGTACAGTGACTCTTAGTGAAGCGCTTTTAGTTTATATTTTTACCTTATTTCATGATCAATTTGAGTAGCTCTCAGAGTTCTCAGAAATATATCATGGTCTTAATGTTGTCAAAGAAGGACAATAAGAAATTATTACATAATATATTAGAGGTACTGAATACACATTTATGGAATAAAGTCCTGAGAGAATTTCATATAACCATGGCTAATATTGTATTCTGTCTAATTTTAGGGAGAAGTAAAACCATCAGGAGGATTAGAGTTGGCTATTTCTTTGGCCTATCTATCCAGTTTATATAAAGTAGAAGTCTGGGGAAGTCATTGTCCCTTGACATTGCCCTGGTCATTATAGGATTGTTTCAAAAATTCCATGAAAATCCTCTACTCTTTGACAAATTCAAAACTTCTCATTTATGGATTTTTACAGCCTTCTGTGAAACACTCAAAGCTCATGGCTGTTACATTTTCTTATTCTGCCATCAAAGTAAAAAGAATGGTGAGAGATGTTTTGTCAGTCTTTTAGTTTCTGGGAAGTTAAACTTTTATACTTCTCAAGGCAAGAAAGGACCTGTTCTGTTCTCTTCTTAACCTACAGGGAGACTGGTTTTTGCTTTTGACTTTACTGTCAATATGTCTATATTGTATTTGGATATTGAGTTTTCAGCCATAAGATTTAGTAATAGGTGAAATGCTGAGTGCCACTTACAAAGTCATTTTCAGTCTAGATTTGCTTGCCTTATAGATTGCTCAAATATAAATGAGAGAAATAGAAGACAAATTACACATTTCTACTAGTCTAGCAGTAATGAGATCTGGTTTCTCAAAATCAATATTCTCCATTCCTATGCCTGCTCATTTGAATTGTGAGGAAATGAGAATCAGCAATTCTGGCATTGATGTGAACTTGTTCATTTCTCCTTCCCAGAATATCTCTCTGGATTGGACACTCAAAGAGGTTTTAAAAGCATTGTCCAGACCCTAGTCCAGCAAAGTCTAAGGAAATGAAAAGGTGTGGACCTAGACTTATGTATTAGGCTCTCTCACTAGAAGGATGGGGAGACCATGGAAGCAGGTCTAGTTTGCTATGAAAATCCTCGCACTGCATAGACTCACATTTCTATGGGATACCCAGAATAATCCTACCCCTCAGTTGTGAGGTGGAAGCCATGAGCTTAAAAAATCTGTCTATGGCGAAGTATGCCCCTAGAAACTGGTTCTCCAAAGATTTGGAGACAGTTCATTTTTTTAAAGTTTGTCCCAAATTATAATTAGTTTGGCAAATGTCCAAAAATGAATAACCCTTTTAATTGGGAACCATGCAATAGCAGCTACTAAAGCATTCAACTCATTGCAATGCCCCCTCTCCTAAATGTCCCTTGATATGATTTAACATGATTGAACACTCATGCACTGGTAGTCATTTTCAGATTCTTATGAGTGAATAACTCCTCCTGTCCTTTTTTCACATATTCCTCAAATTTCTTCTCCAGAGTTAAACATGGAAGATTAAACACTATTTTTCTCAGCTCCCCACTGAAATAGCAATAACAGAACAAAAAAAAAACTGTCACTCCATAAAGATGAAGAATTTATGGCATGAACAATACTATATAAGAGATGTTAATAAAATTTAAAAGATGGAAACAGGATGTTTGCAGGGTAACTGACTTTGTACTGTAGAAACAGTAGAGAAAGATAATATCGATGGACCAGAAAAAAGATAGCCCACAAGAAACAAGCTGATTTACCCACAGGATCCTGGAAGAGTTTAGGAATCAGAAGCAACAGATTAACTGAAAACTGGTGTAAAAAACTGTACTAAAAGTGGAGGATGGTTTCAAAAGTGTATAAGGAGCTGTGAGCCTCACAAACACTCTCTCCAGTCCTGAATATACAGGAAGCTGCTCTCTCTCCTCCCCAGTAGAAAATTTAGATTTACTCCGTAACAAAATTGAATCAATGAGACACTGGCTCACAGCTCAGTCACCTACAGTAAAGTATTTTTCTTAACAATCTTTGCCCAGGCACAAAGAACTTTCAGTCATTATTTTGTTGACTTCCTTGAAAAGACAGTCTGGGGTCATGAGATAGTTGGGAAAGCCTCTGATACAATAACCACTCATAAAGAAGAAAAATTGAAAAGCAAAGAAAATGTATGAAACAAAAGAAAATTTTGAAAATTTATCATTGATATCCCAAAGAGATTTTAGAAACATTTAAGACATGAAACTAAAATAGAATGTTACTTTTTAAATAAAGGATAGACAGAAAATAAGAAAGATCCACTGAAGATAAGAAATATTGTAACAGAAATTTAAAAATTCAGTGGCAGAGTTGGGAGATGAAGTTTGAACTCATCCCAGAAAGTAAAACAAAAAGATGAAAAGAAGGTAATATAAAAAAAGAGATAAGAAAATTAGAGTAGCAATCCAAAATCTCTAACAGCCAACTAACAGGAGTTTCAGAAATATAAGAAAAAGAAGAAAGAAAATAAAAAGAAATAGAAGGACATTTCCAAAAATAATACAAGAAATTTCCCAGAACTGAAGACTTTGAGATTACAGACTGAGAGAGCTACTAAGTGCCCAATACTAAAGCACTTCACATAGAATTTTAGAACCCTGGGTGTGATGATATGATCCCAATGGCTTGTAGAGATGGGGGGATAATCTGTGGTATAATCTTTTCTAGTGGCACCTAATCATAGATAAAATCCATTCTTAAAGTATATGTAGCTATATTCTAGGATGAACTTCTGCCAATATGATCTAAATGTTAGGCACACTTTTTTCTACCTAAAAATCAAAACCAAAAAACAAACAAAAATATAAGTCAAAACCATAAATAACATACACAATATCTGGTATCCATATCTGGGGATGTTTTGCCAACTTTTGATCTAAGGGTATGTTGCTTGTAATTAGAGCTTTTCTAAAAGATGCCAATCCTACTTTGACACAGGAATAAAATTCACACATACAGTAGCTCACTGAAGTCTCTAAATGGAGGGTTTTCCCTTTCATTGGTGAGGTGAGGGGTAGAGAATAGATTAACATACCTATTAATTTGAGTACAGCTGATTTCTTTGTTCTACGTAAAATGAATCGAAGATCAGAATGTCATAGGCTTTCTGGCTGGCTGAGTGATAACTATTTCAAGTCTAGAATTTTATAGAAGCAAAACTATCAAAACAGTGTGAAAAGAAAATGAGGTTTTCAGACATGCAGAAACTAAATTTTAAAAAATACTTCTCATACACTAATTCTCAAAAAAGCTATAGAAGAAAGTGCTCCACCAACACAAAGGCTTCAAGAAAAGACGATTCCCAGGTGAGAAGTAGGTGAGGGGAGTTCATAGAACACCAGTGAAGAGAGGCCTCAGAACAACAATAGAGTAGAAATGAAGGGCAACTAGTCCACATGGAGCAGAAGGAGGGAATACTCCAGGATGGACATCTCCATGAGGGAAAATAAAAAAGAACAATATGTTTGTCAACTTGTGGGGAGTTTTCCAATTTTACTGGAGAATATGCTGAAAATTAGTGACAGGTACTTACAAAACCAAGTAAAGGATGAGGCCACTATTCCCTAGAAAAACAAATAACAGTAAAGCGCAAAAAAAGGAAATATAATCATAGTACATTAAATCACTTGGTATGAATAATATTCATATAATCATAATGGTAACTTTAAATACTGACTTAACAAAAAATGATATATGAGTGTAAGGGAATGGAGGGAGAGGAAATATATGTATGGTGGGTGGTGTAAGAAAGCTGAATCCTTATGTAAGTAAATAATGTCTAAATTTGAAAATTAGGAAATGCAATAATTTTGAAAAATAGCCAAAAATACGTAAACATAGCTTTAAATAGCTGATATTGGTGGAAGGTTGTTGTCTTTATGGAACACTATTTAGGAGTGGAGGGAGGCTGCTCTTTTCTTAAAGCCCTATGGTACTACTTGTTACAATGTCCGCACATATTAATTAGATACACTTAAAATTTAATTGAAAAATTATGAGATAATTCAAATGTTCTAAAGCATATTGGTAGTGTTAAAATAAACATAATTGAGAGCTTCTCCATGTCAAAGCCACCTAGATATACCAAGCCACAGGAAAATATGAGAGATTAAAATCATAGTTTAGAAACTGAGTTCTTAAAGCAAATAATGCTTTGTATAAATTTAAATTGTGTTTATTAAAATGAACTGTTAGTGAATAACAAATATTGTAAATTTGTTTTTTAGAGGTCAGGACTATCTCTGTGGATAGGAAATAAATTATCTCCTCTGGGATCATTACCAGTATGGCTAATAATCCTGATATCTTCTCTGCTTGTCACATCTTTAACAGAGGTAGCCAGCAATGCAGCTACCATTACTCTCCTTCTCCCAATATTATCTCCATTGGTGAGTATTTCATTTATCCCATTTATACTTGTCAGCAGAAGAGCAGTGTTCTAACTTTACTTGTTCTCATATTGTGGTATAGAATCATTTCTGGCCTGAATGGAAGTAACTTATAGAGTGTCCTTTATTTGCATTAATACCTTTTAGGAGACCTCAGCTCAGGAGAACTCTTTTCTTCCACAAACAGGATCTTAACCACTTACCTCCTCTCCACCCAGATTGTTCATTTGCAGATAAGTGGGAGGATCATTCTGGATCCTTTCGAGCTGTAAGACTTTGGAATTCAGTGTTTCCTGGCAACTTTAGTATTTCAACCTGTATCTCTGACACTTCTCCCTCCAGAGTGTTGTGTCTGAATTTCTGAGAAGTGCTTCATATACATGATTTGCAAATGAATGAAAACCTAGGCTTACACTTCAGGCTTCAAGCTTAAATATCTTAGACACATTTCTCTAGTGCCCAGAAAAGAATTTTCAAAGATAAGTAAGAAGCTGGTTTGCAAGAAGAGAGAGGGAAAGACTGTCTTCCCTTCTCCTCCCCACCTAGCGAGCAATTACAAAAAATAGCTTTAAGTAAATGTTTTTCTTATTGGGACAGATGGGTTCAGTGAAAGGAAAGCACTTTAAATTAAGAAGGATTGCCCTTCTGGAATATTTCTGCTACTAGCTCAAGGGGCATATGTTGGCATTCTTGAGCTGGTGCTTCAAATTAGAAAAGAAATGATGGGAATTTAAATTGGCAAAATATTTTGTTTTTTTCTGGTTTTTATTTCTCAACATAGAGCAGTTAGAAAATTATGTGATAAATTAATAATCATAGTAATTTTTTCTTCTGTGATCATCCCTAAGCAAAATTTTAAATTATATATGTCACAGAGGCAGTAAAGTTAATGGAATGATGAGAAGCTTTGGAGCCACAGGGACCTGAGACCCTACCTAAGCTCTACCACTTGTCAGCTATGTGTTTGATGAGTAACTTTAAACTTTCTGAGTCTCATTTTCTTTGTTATTTGGGGCAATAGTAGCCATCTCATAAAGTCATTGTGAAAATTGAGTTATATATATGTATACATATAGTTTATTATATTATTTTATATCACATATAACATTTAAACTTTTTATATTATATATAGACATATATATTTTATATATACGTAAACACTTGGCATAGCACCTAGTACTCGATAAATAATAAATGGTTGATGTTTTTGTCTAGTTTCTGGGGAAAAATGAAACTTCCATTTTCTAAATAAATTGAGCTATAATTCTTAAATGGGCACTAATAAACATATAGACAAGAGGAAGAGGCATTATTTGAAAAATATTCTTCAAGTTATAACAAATATTTATGTATAATTTTATGTCTTTAGGTTTCAGCCTGCTCCTGGGAAAGTTTGTTATTATAATTTTGCTCATTTCGATGCTTGGTGCATCTCAGAACTTTACTTAGACCCCTTCATTTGCTTTTTCAACAGGCTGAAGCCATTCATGTGAACCCTCTCTATATTTTGATACCTTCTACTCTGTGTACTTCATTTGCATTCCTCCTACCAGTAGCAAACCCATCCAATGCTATTGTTTTTTCATATGGCCATCTAAAAGTTACTGACATGGTGAGTAAGCTGAAAGGGCGCTGTCAGGTTCAGGAGCCTGTTTTCATGATGTCTTAGGTTATCTCTCCTTTCACCCACTAATCAACTGCCATGAAAAACATGGCTTGAGTTCTGCTTCTGAAAGTGATTGTGTGACTGGACATAGAATTGCTTTTAAGAATGATGATGTGAAGCAAACATGTCATTGAATATATAGTCAGAAATACAGAGATATTGAATGTATCAGCAATGTCCTGGAAAAAGGAAAAGAGCTTAAAACATGCTCAACAGAAAGGCTTAAACTTACATGTCAAGAGCAGATCTAACTTGACCAAGGCAAAGGAGGAAATAGGATTAATAAAATTTAGCAGTAAGCACTGTGGTTTGCTATCACAAATATTTATGCAACTGATATTTGCTCTGAATAAGACACGAGGCTCAGTGCCTGACTGATGAAAAGTTGTCTTTCTTGTTCTGATTCTAATAGCAACACTGGAAGTGAAAGCACAGGCAAGTAATAGAAACACGCACTTTTTTTCCAAATACAAAAGCAGTGATAGTCAAGAACTGGCTTGAGGATATTCTAGTCTCCTCCCAATTTTGATTGCCAACTTCAAACCAAAACAAACAAGAATATAAGCAAAGTAAATTCGGGGAGCTTGCTCTGCAAATGCAATTTCAAGTTAAGTCCCAGCTCCCTTCCCTCTGAGAAAGTGCTAAACCCCTGCAAGGCAAAAATTCTGGAAATGCCTCTATGCAGAAGTCATGTACTATTATTTTGGTAAAGAAAATGCACATAACATAAGCAATGTCTTGTGCATGTGAATTAAGAAAATGAAAACAAGGTTCTGGAATAAATGAGTGGCTTGTGTGGACAGCAAAGGGGATCTCTGTAGTAACCACTGCTAGGTATTCTCCTTTTGCTTTGTGGCCCCATGTTTTACTACAGGGAATGCAAAGATAAGCAGCTTTGTCTGTAAAGACAGTAAACATTTGAGCCTCTGTCACAACTACTCAATTCTGCCATTGTAACATGAAAGCAGTCAACAATATATAAACAAATGGGTGTGGTTGTGGCTCCATAAAACTTTATTTACAAAAACAGTTAATGGGCAGTAGCTTTTCCACCTGTATTTTAATGGATAGGAAGCAACTTTGTGATTGTTTAATGGACACCAGAATGATGATGTCAGAACTAGAAAAATGGGAACTCTAGGAAAGATGAATAGAAGTGGCATTATTAAATCTCAACAAGAGAATATTGAAGGGTAAACTACTAATAATATTGACTATGAAGGATCCAGTTATCGTATAGTGACCTGGACTTTATCCACTGAAATATGAAACCACAAAACTCTAATTTTGTTTTAACGTGAAATGGTAGATTTTTTTTTTCAATCCTCACCCAAGGATATTTTTATTGATTTTTAGAGAGAGAGGAAGAGAGAGAGTGAGAGAGAGAGAAACATCGATCAGTTGCCTCCTGTCTGCACCCCTACTGGGGACAAGGGATCGAACACACAACCTAGGTATGTACCCTGACCAGGAATCAAAACCTCAACCTTTTGGTGTTTGAGATGATGCTCCAACCAACTGAACCACCTGGCCAGAATGAAACAGCAGGTTATTAAAGGAATTTTTCTCTAATCACCAGTATATTCCTATGAGGAACCCCCCTCTGAGACTCTTCAGGAAAACGGTATTTAGTAGGGGGCTGATTTTCTTTTGACATGAATGAAAGGATGCCTTGTTTTATGACAGCAACAATTTATACTACTCATTTAGTATGCATGTAAATCTTTCCTATGCGTTCTGAAATAGTATTCCAAGTTTCCCTTAGGTTTTCTTTTTGGGAGACTGACATTTATGCTCTTTCCTGTTTAAGGTTAAAGCTGGACTTGGTGTGAACATTGTGGGTGTTGCTGTGGTGATGCTTGGCATGTTCACCTGGATTGTGCCCTTGTTTGACCTCCATACTTACCCTTCTTGGGCTCCTTCAATTAGTAACGAGACCATGCCATGAGAAGCATGAATGCTCTGACCATCCTGTTGTGAGTTTTGGGAACCTTAAGAAGTCACTGCAGAATTTAACTCTGAAAAACTGATGACTCATTTGAATCAGTCCTGGTGCAGTTGCTGCACTTCCAGTGAACACCCAAAATCTGCAGTCATAACTCAGAGTCTACATTTCCTTTGAGATACAGCCAGAGTTTCTAAGTGCCTTCATCAAGAAGCCCGCGGTTCCACGGTTGTGATTTTGCTCATGGACCATAAGTATCCTGCTTCATCATGAGAATAATTTATAACTTGACCTTCAAAGAGATTAGGTCATTTGCTTCATCTTATGGTTTGGGTTCAGTGTAACATTTCAAATGTCAATTTATTATTTGAGAAACTTTCCATGAAGTTATAAATAGAAATAAAATATATGAGTTAATAAGGTACTTGGATAAATTATTTCTGTAGTGTTCAAGGGAATTTTCTGAAAATACCAAAGCTATGGTCATCTGGTGGTGTAAAAGCAAAGTTTAAATAAATGTGATTCCTCTAAACAGTAGAAAACTCATATATAAGGACCAATTTCTACTTGACCCTATGGTTAGAGTAATATAATTCATACTTTTATGATCTCAGTGCACTGAGAAATACATTTTGTAGATCTATGGTTTGCACCATTAACACAGTTAGAAAAGAAAGTTAAACACTGTAAAACTATTAACATACATATATATATATAACAATTATGCTTAAGTGTTTATCTTATTTTAGAAATATATAATGTCATATATTCAAAAGAAGGTGATTCAGAAACTTAAATGAATTATCACTGCATATATAGATGTAAAAAATGTCACATAACTCCATTATGTTAAATTGAAATGAAATACCAGAGGGAAAATAAAGAATGAAAAATTAAAACTATGGATACATTTACATAAAGAAATATAAATTATTTATGGTCAAACCAAAAAGAGAAAAGAACTGAACATTCAAACAAAAGTAGAAAAAGAATAGTCTTCCAGCACTCGAGATGTGCAAGAATAAAGTCTATTGACATTCCAAAATTAGACTAAAGGAGGAAAATGACAATCAAAAACAAAAAAGATAAGTGTATAGGAAAAGACTGAGAAGTTAAAACACAGTAATTCTCATGCTAAAGATGAAATGAAAGGTAAGGTTTAAAAAACACCCTTTGCTATTTTTAATTTTCATGAAAGTCATCAGACCTGATTTGGTTTTGTTATAAATTAAATATAGTAAAAATGATTTTTTTAAAAAGTAACTCATTTCTTTAAGAAATTATGTATTAGGATTGCCTATGTTCACTATTTGTGTTTATTAATTAGCCAATGCAAACTTAATAATTTCATTCAAGGAAAAATTTTTCCATTTAAACCTTAAAATAAATATTGCTGCTATGTGTATATCTTCTATATTCACTCTATTCACCTGTTCCCTTTCCTATCATATGTTACACATTTATTTATGATCCATAGTTTTAATTACATTTCTGTTTTTTTCTAGCCATTCAGTTTCTCACTGCTGAATTACATTATATGATGAATACATTTTTATTATTAAAAAAAGAAAAGACTTTTCAAATTATAATGAATATGTTTTTTTCTCAAGAAAATAATATAAACATTGCAGCTCGAATTATTTTAATGAATTATTTTCAACAGCTGCCAGCTGGGTACAGGAAAAATAGCAGTCAAAACTTGGCTAAGTGAGTGACATAGCTCTCTTGCTACATCTTTATGGTTGGTTGATATAAAAAATGACTTAATTCACCAATTTCATGTTTGCCCCATTTACATCAAGTCTCAAACCCTGTTAGACTGAGAGTTGCATACTGTCTTTGAAAGTTTCTAAAAGGCAACCTTATGTTCATATTAACCATTGTCATCTCAATAAATTTAATTAAAATATAATTAAAATAAATAAATAAATAAGTAAAATAAAAGGCAACCTTAACTGATGATCACTGAATATTTGTCCCTCCACTCTGTGGTAGATAGTGTTTTTGTTATTATCTTGATCTTTACTTAAGGTTAACTAGAAATTCCTGTCACTTTAAATCCCAGTATTTTACTTAGGATTAGAACTTGTCTAGATAATTATAGCAATTTCAGTAAGTGCTTATTTACTGTCTGTTCATCTAAATACTTTAGAGGGCTTCGCTGACATATCCTTCACTCACCCCAGCTGCCTCAGTACATGTCAGCATCTCCAGAAGTCAGACTTCCTTTCAAATGTGTGCACTGTTTTCACCTTACTTGGTATCCAAGGCTTTGTTGTCTCCTTTTCAGCCTGGGAGGTAAGGAGGTACACTTTTAACCAATATTACTAATTAAACCTATTAGCAAAATTTGATAAAATAATACCATGTCACATTAATTGTCTTGACATGTGTACTACATATTGTTATCTGTAAAAGATTATTGTTAGATATGTTATATCTCTGCCATGCCTAAATATTTGATAAAAATCTTTGTGATTACACATTCCAAAGTTTTTTTGTTGAGTGAATGAATGACTGTTATCTTTGTTTGACTGTAGATTTTACCAAATTTTTATTTTTTTATTTTTACAATGGGAGGGTTGTCCTAGCAGTAATACAAACAGTATTGGTTTTATTAATCCAACATAATATAAAAAAGAAATAGTTAAAATTGTAATTTCAGGGCAGTGTTAACCATGTTATTCCCAAATGAAGCACTTCAGTCAAAGTAAAAATTTACTAAGTTTTGGTGATGCAAATATAAAAAAACAGAGGTCCCCATTTTAGAGGTGAGATCAGACTAGTCCAGGAGTAAACAGTAAAAAGGGCATATAACTAAAGTAGATATTAAAAGTTTTTTCCAAATTTTAGGGATCCTCATTTGCCTAGGGAGAAAAATAAAGGGACTTTTCTTAATGACAGTATAGTAGTATAAATACTAGAGGTGAAAGGGGGGAGATCTTCTTAAGGCCAAATAATAGAAAATATTGTATAACAAACATTACTTTGTCAGCAAGAAAATAATAGAAGTCCTCAAAAAAGAAAGATGATGAAGCACCAGCAAGAATCCAGAGACTTAAAACACATTGTATGCGGGAAACGTATTTATACATTTTACGTTGACTGGTAGTAGAGCACACGATAAAAACTACCCACAAACAATGTGTTAAGCATGAACTGAGGGTGGCACTGCTAATCTCGAGAGATTTAAATTTTTATTTTAATTGGTACACAAGGTACACATGGGAGACAAATCCAGGATCCAAGCAAGTTAGTGGTTAAAGAAAAACTATATAAAGTTAAGATCTCAAAGGACTATATTCCTAGTGAAAAAATGTGAACTGGGGGGAAAAAACCTACCTGATAGACTGAAACATCACAGGAACTTGAATGTTTTGTCCCATGCACCAGGTGGAGGAGTAAAATTTCCCTTGAAAAGTCACAGCCATCCAGGTTAGGAACTAAAGTTTCAATACCAGTGTGTGGTGGGGGGGGACCTTCATCATAAATTTTATCTTAAAACAATTCTGATTTGGTAGTATTTCCAAGTACCTGGAAAAAGAAGTAACAACTTCTTAAACCTGAGGTGCAAAGAATTTCAGAGATTATAACGAAAACTCAGAAATCTGCCAGGATACAAAGCATATTATGCAAAAGCCAAGGTAAACAAAAGAAACAATCCAAAGTACAAAGACAGCAGATATTCTAATTCCCAAATACAGAACCTAAAATGAGGAAGCATAATGTCTGAAAATATAGAAGAGAGAGAATTGGAAGTATAGTAAGTGTGACAGGCAAAACTCTAACAATGTCCCCCTAAAATGTCTTTCCTGGTTACTCAATCAAACACCAACCTAGGTACTGCTGTGAAGGGATTTTGCAGATATAATTAATGTTATTAACCATCTGGCTTTAAAATGGGGAAATTGTTCTGGATTACCCAGGTAAGCTAATGTGATTAGGTGAGCTCTCAAAAGCAGAAGAGGAAAGCTGAAGAGTCAGGTGGGTGAGATGAGACAATGGGAAGTCAGAGAGATTTGCAGCATCACAAGGACTGGATTCACTGTTGCTGGCTTTGAAGATCAAAGGGGTCACAAGCCAGGGAGTGCAGGCCACCTCAAGAAGCTGGGGATGACCTCTGGCTGAAACCCAGAGGCCTTGGTCCTACAGTTGCATGTAACTGAATTCTGCAAACATGATAAACCTAGAAAAATATTCTTTGTAAAAGCCTTCAATAAGGAACACAGTCCTAACACCTTGATTTTAGTCCTGTGAGACTTATTTTGGATTAGAGCAGTTTAAGATAATGAGTATTGTTTTAAGGCACTAAATTTGTGGTAGTTTGTTATGGCAACAATAACAAAAAACTACAATAAAGAACAAGAGACTGTGAAAAGTAACCAGATTAGCTATGAAAAGGTATCAAATAGAAATTTTACAAATGAAAAGTATAATGACTTAAATTAAAAACTTAATGAATAGGCTAAATAGCATAGTATGCAAAGCAGAAAAGAAAGGATGTGAACTTGAAGACACATTCCAAAAAATAATTAGAATCCAGCACAGAGGAGAAACAAGAAGGCGGCGTAGGTAACAGCTGCACCCACTGCCTCCCGCAACCACATCAAAATTACAACTAAAATACAGAACCACCAGCACTCAGAGCCTTCTGAAACCTGGCTGAACAGAAGCCCCACAACCAGGGTCCTGAAGAAGCACCGAGACTGGTAGGAGGGGCACAGAGGTGGGCGGATGGGTCTGAATCGCAGAGACGCAGCCTCGGGCCCACACCCGGTGCCGCGGTTGAAACCCGGAAGGGAATCTCGGCGGCGGAGTTTTCCCGGAGGAGGGAGGGGTCCCAGCCCCACAGCAGGCCCCCAGCCCAGGGCTCCAGGCCTGGGAAGAGATGCTCCCACAACTCCGGGCTGTGAAACCAGCGGGGACTGTCGCTGAGGGTCGCTGAGGCTGCAGGAGCCCCAGCAGCTCTTCTTAAAGGGCCGGCGCACGGACTCACTCAGACG